AAATAGATCTGAAAAAGAAACACAATTTTGTTATTGCGCCTCTCACTTTTTCTGGCAAAATAGAACGTATACCTATTGGTAGAAAGTGTTCCATAAGAACATGGCAATCATGTGTCTTTAAACTCTTTAACTTTAGGTCTTTCATAGAAACAAGTCTTCTAATATCTGAAGAGTATCCTTCTGGAACTTTAACTTCACTCAGAAACTTACACATTATCTTTTTCTCCTTTCTAGACAAAAGTATATGCAGCAGGTGGTAGATAAGTGCGATTTCCTTTCTTCTGGGGTCCTAATTCATTTCTTATTCCCATTGCTACCAAGTCTTTTCTTGCTTTAAGGCCATCCTTAGACTTTCCTTGTATATTGAGTAACGTACCAATAACACTTTCAAATACATTTTTTTCAATATGCATAACATCAAGAAAATGCCGTACATACAACGACTTCCAATACGGCAACTCAAACAAAATTGACCTCTTCTTCCACCCACGCGTGGTAAGTGTATGAGCAAAAGGCTTGCCAAACTGAGTACTCACATCTTTCACCTTTGCAAAAATTTGATCGCCGGTCAATGTAGGTGGTGCTCTACGTTGTTCTGAATTTCCATTGAATTCTTGTCTCCACCCACGGTACTGATGATTAGAACTTAAGAATCTATGATGACCAAGAAAGACATTCTTCTGACCAAATTCCAACCGCGTCCAATCTGTGTTTTCTTCACAGATAGGACACGCACATTGACCTTTAATGCTATACCCCGATAGATTTCCGTATGCTGGGAAATCATTAATTGTGCCAAACAACATGGCCCTCAAATTAAAACTTTCTTTCCTATATCCATCATAAACCTCCACACCGTTCTCCCACAAACTTTTTAAGTCTTCGATTAAAGGTGTCAGGTATACGTCTATGTCGTTTCCTGGTTGTTTAGGGCCAGAAATTAACATAGATAACATCATGTACTTACGCTTCATACATAGCCATGGAGGTAGGTTATAAATCATAAGAATTACAGGCCAGGTGGAATGGGAGATACTTTGCAGACCGTGTGGATTCATTCCATCAGTCGATAATGCCAAGCGAAGGTTTCTAGCTTCTTCTCCAAAATCAGGATAATCATTATCAATTTTCATCCACTGTGGTGAATCTGCCGGATGTCGATACTTCCCATCTATAATTCTATCATCTGCATGCCAAGTAAGGTGTTTCGCATCTGTTTCACTACGAAACATGCGTCTGAATCTCGGAATTATAGGAAAATACCATAAGACTTTTGCTGGTGACAACTTCTTCTTATACCGAGATACACCGCATTTAGGACACTCGTTTAATGATGCATACTCATTTCGAAACAAAATGCAATCATTTGGACAAGCATGTATCTTATCATAGCTCATACCAATAGAGCATAACATTTTTTTAGCTTCATAGGTTCGATTGGGAAGAACATTATCCTCCGGAAGCATCTCTTGAAGTAGGGCTAACAACTCTGTGAAACTTTTATCCGACCATCCATTACCCGCCTTTAAGTTGTACAACTTTAATACCGCAGACAATCTTGTGAAAGTAGTGCAACCTTTATACAACGGCTTCTCTGCATCGCTTACCAACCTCTCAAACATCTTTGGACAATCTTTAAGATCTTCTTCAAGTGCTTCTGCAATATCTTCGACTCGATCACAATCGTATGTATCCCTACCATTGTCCTTTGAAGTAGAGGTCGTATTGTTCTGGGGTTCAACATTCTCGTTACTTATCTCACCGTGTAATGTCCAACATGTGTAACTTCGATCAATTCCATGTCTCATTAAATGAGATTCCAACTGAACCGCGTCAATTCGATGCCCATAACAGCAACCTAAGCAAGGACATGTGATCCTACTGGGGTCTTTGGCGTGTTCAACAGCAAACTTAACGAAGTTCGATACCCCATTCTCGTACTCTTTTGACAATCGATTAACAGACATCCAATTTTTATCCATACTATGAAAGTTAGGCAAAAACAGAGAATACCTGTAAAGAAATCACTAACTTCTAAGAAAGTTGTACAGTAGGATGCTTGGAAACAATCACAACCTTGCTCTTCTCAGGTAACCCCTATAACAGACAATATATACATTTTATTAAAATCATATTAATAATTAACCAAAACAAAAAAACTAGATAATCTAACAAAACAAATCATATTAAAAAAAAGTAGATATACTATAATAAACTATTCTACTATTAAAGCATACTTTCATTAATATGATTTTAAACTATTCTAAACTATTTTATAATGCTCAAAATGACATGGACTAAATTAAAGCATACTCTCATAAATGGTGGAAATGGACTAAATTATTCTAAACTATTCTAAACTATTTCATTAATATGATTTTAAACTATTCTAAACTATTAAATCATACTCTCAAAAATGGTGGAAATGGACTAAATTATTCTAAACTATTCTAAACTATTGCATTAATATGATTTTAAACTATTCTAAATTATTAAAGCATACTCTCAAAAATTTTGGTAATGGACTAAATTATTCTAAACTAATTTATAATGCTCAAAATTCATTGTGGCATTTCAACAAACACCTTGCATACAAAACTCAAGCCAATATCAAAAGAGTAATGCTCATCAATGGTATCAACAAAAACAAGTCAATAACTCAGAAAGAAGTAGCACTAACATCATCTAATCCAGAAAAATGCAATACTAAGACAATAATCCATAAAAATGCCGTAACAGTCGCGAATTTACCGTAACGGTGGAGGAGAACGAACGGTGAACGGCGGCGAAAGGGAACGGCGAACGGCGGCGAAAACAAATGGAAGATGGCGGCGCAAACGGACAGCGACGAAAGCTTCAACGGAGGGCGAAAATGGAAGATAGGGCAATGGAGAAATGAAGAAACGAAGAAGAAAACGAAAAAACGCGTGTTCTGTTTCGTTTACAATTCTGGAGGGTATATAAAAATTATTATACTAATACCTTTAGCAGCGCTTTTTAAAGGCCTTTAGCAGCGCTTTTAAAAGCGCTTTCATAGGGTGCATTAGCAATGACATATAGCAGCGCTTTATAAAAAAAGCGCTCTCGTAGGGTCCCCTTTTAGCAGCGCTTTTAAAAAGCGCTTTCTAAGGGTCCCCTTTTAGCAGCGCTTTTTAAAAAAGCGCTGTCTTTGGTAGGTAATTTTTTTCTTTTTTTTTTACTGACTATTTAGCAGCGCTTTTTTTAAAAGCGTTGTCTTTGTATGCGCTGCTAAAAATCAATTCTGGCGTAGTGAGAAGTAATTTGTATAAAGTGATGTTACATTATTTCATTGTTGTTAAACATTTTGCTTCGAAGCCTGTCAAACATTATGGTTTTATTATGATGTTTTACGAATGTTGAGATGTTCTATTCACAACATGAATGATGATAGCTATGTAGGCTGCTATGTGTATAACCCAATGTTTTCCTGCATTATCAGGTATGCAGGTTTGGGGGACGTTCAAGGAGGACCAAGTGCAGAGGGTGGCATTACTAAGAAGATGGATGGTAAAGTTGATGAAGTGAATGTTCAAGGAATGGATCATTCAACTAACAAAGATGCTGTTGAAGAAGAAGATGAACCCGAGGACGAAGAAATTGAGGATGAATTTTCATGTGTTAGACACAAAAGCTATGCTTACAAAGTCATGAGAAATGTTATGGTAAGTTAGAATTCAAAACATCATTATAAATATTGGGTTATAGACGTGCAATATATGTATCTTAACCACAATGTTTACAATATTTCAGCACTTTCCAAGGGAAGTTGCAAAGAATATCTTAGGACCAAAGCTGAAGGAAATAAAGCTTGTTGATGCAGACACTGAGAGGCTTTACCATCCGAAGGTGCATTCTGCAAAGCATAACCAAAAGGTCGTGAAGACAAAAAGGTTCATTGGCCACGGGTGGTATTAGTTTGCAAAGCTTAAAAAGGGTGACATGCTTCTGTTTAGCATAACTATTCCATCTCATCGTCTTTGGCCGTTGTGAATCGTTGATTGCAGGGTGTTAGGTGTTACGTTGATGAAATTGTGTTTTGTTATTACCTAATGATATTGTATGAACGCGTGTTTTGGTAAATTGTTGAAAACTTAGTGGCAGTTTCATGTTGAATTAAGTAGTGGTTCATGTACTTGTGTATAAGTAAGTATGACTTAGTATGTAATGCAAGAACAATTAGATGTCATAGTCTGTTATGGTTATGTTAAGTTAGAATTAAAATGATGGTGTGAAGTAAAATTATGGTTATGTTAAATTTGAAGAACAATGAGATGCCACAGGCTGTTATGGTTTTGTTATGTAATGGTTATGTTATGTTAAGTTTGAAGTAAAATGATGGTTTGAAGTAAGAACAATGAGATGCCACAGTGTGTTGAGCAGTAATGTAGAAAGTAATAATGTGATAGTAATAGTGACGTAGGATATATGGAAATGGAAAAACATGCAATATAAAGGCTTTATGAAAAGATAGACAGACTTCATGCAACGTGAAGGAAAAGAGTTGTCTGTATTTTGGTAGTTACATAGATATTTTGTAAAAAAAATTGAACTTTGGTTTTGAAGAAGAAATATAATAAGAAAAATTTTAGGAGTTGGAAATGTTTAGGATTACATTAACATTTTTCAATAGGTCAAAGTAGTATAAAGTAATTGGCAAATAATAAAACAACATGTGCTATTACACAAAGGGTGGGGTACAAAACGAATGAAGTACGGGACCCAGAAATATATGAAAATGTTGCACCAATGAAAATGGGTCCAGCCCTGTGGTTGGGAAATAAAATGTTCCTGCAAGGAAAAGGAAAATGACAGAGTCACATAATGGTTGGCGAAAAAGTTATAGGTCAATAAAGTATAAAAAGGGAATTACAAATCAAATAATAAGTTATGGCGATATAGTTAATAATAACACTAAGAAAGAGATTGATAAGAAAATGAGAGGCGTTGTAGAATGAAAAAATTTCCGCATGATTTGCCACCTATATATTGCTGAAAACTTCTTTGTACACGACGTTGGCAGTAGAAGACTTAGGTTTGTTGTTTTCGTCATGAATTAGGATCTTGATACACTTTTTTCTAGTTACCCTCGAGATTGCAACGTATAGTTGACCATGGCTGAAGAGATCCTTTGGGATATAGAGGCCTACCCTATCCAAGGATTGCCCTTGGGATTTGTTAATTGTCATGGCGTAGGACACGATGATTGGAAACTGTCTCCTGCTTAGTTTGAAAGGCCAAGGTGATTGGGACGGGGACATATCCATTCGTGGAATGTATATGACTTTTCCGTGGCCTTTTCCACCCATAATTTCAGCCTCAAGAATGTGGTTAGCCATTTTCGTGACAATTAGCCTTGTTCTGTTGCATAAACTTTCAGCTTGATCGATGTTTCTCATAAGCATGATCGACGTCCCTATCTTTAACCTAATGTGGTGGTTTGGCAAGTCAGTCGTTCTCAGAGAGCTTAGGAATTTTGAGTAAGAACTTCCATAATGCTATTATCGTGAATTTCAGATCGATCAACTGAGTTAGAGCTGTAATAATCCTTGCTTTCACCTATGAAATGTAAAGAAAAACCGACATAAATATTTCCAAAACCAATTGTTAATAATTATGGAAAAAGAATGAAATGAAGTAAGATGAAGTAGAAAAGTGATTTTAAAACTACCTGGCATCATATTTAGAACATGATTATTAATTTTGCCAACCACCTCAATAGTGGTGTCACACCCTAATTTTTGACCTTAAGATCCCACCTCCTTGTGTGTTTTCTTGCGTTATTTGACTTTATATTTTTCGTATTCATGTTTATTGCGGCTAACCAGTATGTGCAGGTATGTCAAGATTAGTGATACTGTTTCTATCAAACTTAAGCGCCTCAGACTATCTCTGGATCATTTACAAAGGGTGCACTGTCTTTATCAAGAGAATTCCACAAGGTCACAAAGCGCTATTTCTAAAAAGAGAAGAATTGATTACACTTTGAATTTTATGATCTTCTAGGACGTGGCGGTGTTATTTTTGGTCCTTGCACCAGAAGGATTGGGTTCTATTTATGTGAAGTGTTCTAAGTACCATTTTCAAGCCGTTTTAATTCGTACGTCAAGATCACAGTGGAATTGTGGTGCTTTAGGCATGTTTGGTTGGATTTCTTAAGTTTTGGCCAGACGGTTTCATTTTATTAAAATATTCTTAAGACATGAAGTGAACTTTTGGTTGCGGGTGTTTGAGTTCTTTTAGTTCAACCGTGCACATATGATATTAAGTTCTTAATCGAGACGTTTTTTGGATCATAAGACATCATTCTTCATTAATCAAAATTGGTTGCATTTTATTACAAGATACATGGGTTGCAAGTTACTATTTTGGTTACATCAAGAAGTTCCTAAGACTATTTCCTAAAGACTATTCTAAAAGGTTCAAGATCTTCAGTTTTTCATCTTCGTCATCTTCCGAACCTGGAAAAAAAACAATGGAAAAAGGCAGCTAGTAAATTCAGATAAAGAAGAGGATTTTGGTTTTTGCTTACGACCCTCAGATAAAATATCATCATCGGGCCAAAAGCCGGAAGGGCAACAATTTGAAATTGCCATCAGCTTCCGGTAAAATATGGACAAAACCATTAGCGACCTTTTTTTTCAACAGGTTCAGACTATGTCATCATCACCTTTTTCCTCCAGCAACATCAAGCACAGAAACAAGGCAATGTCTGTTCAAAAATTAATACAAGTAAACTTTCGCAAAAATAGGAGAAATGAAGAGACACGTTTTTTTCCAGCAAGCCAAGTGGAAGTTTCCAAAACCAGCGTCAAAGGCAAAAAGTCTGAAATGGAATATTCCAAAACGGATCCAAAATCCGGAACAGCACAACCAGCAGCAATGTCGCAAGTCCGAAAATGGAAAACATTGCAAAATCAACCAAAAATCTGGAAACGACATCCAACGACATCAATATCAAATCAAAATCAAAACTTTCCATCAAACAAATCCTTTGTTCCAAAATCATCAGCATCGAATCAGGACGAGTAAAGAAAGTTTTAAAGATTTTCAAAATCTTCCAAAATAATATCCGACAGTATCAACACGGAAAAGGAAGAGTTTTTAAGGCTTTCACTGCAAAACCTCTCAAAATCGGACTATATAAAGAAGAAGAAGAGGAGAACTCAGAGACGGGGAGACTCAGGGAATCTCATCATAGTCAAAAAAACCGTAAGCCGAAAAAACTCAGATCACGGCAAAAACCCACAAACCGAAAACAAAGCCATATTGTCACAGATCGAAATCCACAAACACATCGCAAAACCAGTTCCAAGAAAACCATCAAAACAGATTGCAAATCCTCACAGTCCTCCAACAAAAACTCGTAAATCTGTCAAACTTTCAAAACGCCAAAAACTCAGACGATGAAGGAGGCTTTGTCGTTCATCATCGTCATAATACAGACATAACCACCACTACCAAAAACCTGCAAATCCATTTTAAAAAACATGAGTTTATTTTACTAACTTTATTTAACTGGTTTTTGTTTATGTTGATGAAGGAATGAAAGAACGAACAAAAGAGAAGAACGAAGAAGATGGAGGCAGGATTAAGAGGAGTGAGGAGAAGAAGAATGCAGTGAGAGGGTATAGAGAATAGAGGAGCGACGGAAGAGGAAATGGGGTGATCTAGGGTTTCTTTTCTGTTTTTGTATTTTATATGTTGTAATCAAGTGTATTCACCCCCACGGTTCATACCGTGCACTCACACATCCTCACCACTCACCTCTCTCTGATCACTATCATGCGGTCCATGCTTGAATCCCCACGATACACCCTTTTCAGCTTTCCGAATGCAAGTATTAGTTGTTGTGTCATGGCATTTTTCCAGCTTCGGTATTATTGTTATTGTTGTTATTACCATTACCATTGTTATTGTTGTTGTTGATCATTGCTAGTATGGTCATTGTTATCAGCCATGACTTTCTCTTGTTGAGGAGAAGAGGAAGAAATTGAAGTAGAATCGCTTTCTTGCTGCTTCCTTTGCTTGGAGAGTTGTTAGTGTTTTTTGTTTTTGCTATTGTTTCTTTGGGTTGTTCTTTTGATCTCTGGATCAAAAAGAAATTGATCTTCTGGTGTTTTACCTTGCATAAATAGAATTCATAACCTAGCCAACACAAGTGAGCAACATGGTGTGTGTGTGTGTGTCTATATATATATATATATATATATATATATATATATATATATATATATATATATATATATATATATATATATATATATATATATATATATATATATATATATATATATATATATATATATATATATATATATATATATATATATATATATATATATATATATATATATATATATATATATATATATATATATATATATATATATATATATATATATATATATATATATATATATATATATATATATATATATATATATATATATATTGCAAAAAGTAACGAAATGTAAAAATGATCATTGGTAAAGTTTAAGAGATATCAAAGCTTGTTGGGATTAGGATTCATCCACCGATTGTGTGCATATTTTATTAATCAGTTATATATAACCTAGATATTATCAAATATCATCGTGTATCACTCATAAATAGTGTTTATGTCTAAACTCCCGATGAGAGTTTGACCGTGTTGTTTAATCAACGATATCTCAGTATCTTAAACAATAAGGTAGAATTAAGAATTGATACTTGTTGTGAATGCTAAACCCTAAATCTATGTCTAGAATTTAGAGGTTTAACAGATGATTATCGTAGATCAAGATTTGAACATTACTTCTCAATATCAATTTCAATATATAAAGTTAAAAGTAAAATAAATATATAATCATGAATAACTAGATTGTATATAAAGGTGTGATCAATAAACATACATACGGTTACGATGAACTACGTACAATCCCAACAAGAAAGAGAATTAGCTACTCATTATCACGGTAGCTTGATATAAAAGAGAATAAATAAGATGAATAACCATCAAAGGTGATTTCCCAATGATTGATGCATATCCAAATTGTTCTTCAAGTATTACTCTTTCTCTGTTTCTATCTATATGTTTATCTCTCTGAAAATATGTCATCCTGAAATATCTTAACTAATGCCTATTTATAGTTTTCTGGTTCTATCGATCTCACTTAGTGAGATAGGGTTGGCTAAGCAAGCCTTCTTTTCTTCAGCTTGAAGTCTTCTCAAACCGCCTGTTATCACCTAGTGAGATATGGCTCGCTAAGCAAGTTGTCTTGCTTACTTTTCGCTGGGCCTCACTGGAGAAAAAATTTTGTTTTTTGAATCTTCAAAAAAAATTCCAAACCTCGTTGCACGCTCGTTGGGGCTCGCTTAAGTGAGAAGGAGGATTTTTGAATCTGCAAACTTTCTGCCAAGCCTCGTTGGATGCTCGCTGGAGCTCACTTAGCAAGAGCTTGCTGAGATCTCGATGTAGCGAGTATTGCAAGGGCTTTGCTTCTTGCTTTGTTGCTTAAACTCTTTCCTTAGAATTAAAACTTACAAAATATTTAACAATTAGCAACAATATGCATAAAGCTCTTGTTATCTTCACAAAAATGAACTTTAATCAGTAATTGGGGTTTTTGACATTGGAAACTTGTAAACCAAGTTAATAAATGCTCAAATTCTCTCTTTTGAATAATCATAATTTGGCATTTATCAACCATGTAAATTTCTAGTTTTTCATCTATCTCTTTGAATATTTTGCTCATCATCCTCCAGTACGTTGCTCCTGTCTTCTTTAGGCTAAAATGTGTGATAATTGTAGTGATATTTAACTTCATTACTCGTGAAGTTTATGTTCTCCATGTATGCTTCGAACATAGGTATGTAGTTATAACCAAAATATGCGTCCATGAACGAAAATAGTTTATAGCCAACCAATGCATTATTATGCAATCATTCAATGTATCTTACTTCGTAAATAAAGTTGGTGTCAAGAAGACCTTGGGTCGTACTCATAGTTGCTTATGCCTTTTCAGGGGATCGACGTCTTCTTCATTGTTCCACATAGCGGGCGGGCCGTGGAGGGGGGTCAATCTTTAATTAGTGACAATTCACACTAGGGTATATGTTAGGTATTTCGTTGAGACAAACTATGAAGACATCGACATTAACTTTAAGGGTTCAAAGAGCCATTTCTTGACCACAAATGATACAAACCCTATCCATACTAATCTCTTTGGATTATCATCGAGTTGTATAACTTCAAAGTTTCCTTCTAGAACCGACCTTAAGGTTTTTGTCTTTGACTCCTAGCAAAGAGCCAAGATCATCATCTTTTCGCACGTCGAGGTCAATCATGTTGATGGTA